GTGCCGTGCAGATCCCTGCATAAAGCACATTGACACCTCCCTGCCTTTTGTGTTGTCTTAGTGCTGGGAATTTTCAGGACCCCAACCGGGTTTTGCAGAGGAAAATCGCTCCCTGAACACCCCGGTGTTGCTGTCACCGTGGGAAGGAGCCATGAGCCTATGCAGCACCTTTCCTCTTTCCCCATCTCCTCTGAGCTTCTGGAGCCTTTCCAGCCGCTCTCCGAGTGGCTGCTGTCCTGGGCCGGTGCTTCCTTCCACCATCAAACGACCACAATCGAGTCTGTGGACAGAGAATCGGATGGGAGATAATGGAAAAAAAGGCACTTGCCCATATGGAAACCACCCCAGAAAGGTGAGCGGAGAGGGACGTGCTGGCCTAGATCCGGTGCGGCGGCAGAGGCCATGAGCTGTCCGGAGACAGGGACAAGAGGTAATAGCTGGCCCCACCTCGCCTGTTAAAGGGAGCTCTTACATCCTGCCTCCTAATCCTGCTTTTGGAGCCGGAGCGTGTTTTAAAAACCCGGGAAGGTTGCTAAGGGAGAGCGTGCTCGGCAGGGCCATCGCGCGCCAGCCCTCACAAGCGGGAGGTAAGAAACTTGGGATGTTGTTAATCCTCCACTGCCCACACGATAAACAGAAACGTATTATTCTCGTCAAGGACAAAGGAGCCCATATTCCCCCGCAGCCAGGGAGCTGAACCAGCAAATCCTTTGGATTCAGCTCCGCGGTGGGTTCGGCCGCGACTGAAGTCGTTCCAGTTCAGTTCCTGTCAGGCCGATAATGGCTCGTTAACCATTTGTGAGCCCCAAAGTCATTTCAGCGCGTTCAGGCTGGAAACGTGGCCTGCACAAGTGGCTACAGATGGGGACCAAACGTCTTCCAACCTTTTGCTCCCAGCAGGGCGCTACGGCCTCTCGCCAGCGCTGCAGAGCTGCTTTGGCCATAATGGCAGAAAAGCTAAATATTGCCCCATATTGTGTGCAGGAAACCCTCGTGATGGCAGACAAGCAGAAGACACAGAGACCTGCAGCTCCTCAGTGGCTCTTGCTTGCTAAAACCCGCACCTGCATGTGCAGACGGGCACATCCGCACACCGAAATGCTCAGGGCGTCCACTGGCTGCTTGTGCCGGCCATGAGGATAGGGAGATCTCCTGTGTGGCGGGACAGGACCTGAAGCTCTGCTCAGGCATCCCTGAAGGGGAAAGGATGGAGGTTGCTGCAGCAGGGGGGCTGCTGCTGCCGCCTCTTCACACGCTGTAGTGGGTACAAATCCCGTGTTGTCGTCAGTGCTCTGATGGGCCGTAAGTTTTTTCACTGGTGCAGTTTTCATGTGATCACTGGAAAATTAAGGAGGGGGTTCTCGTTTAATAGAGGCTTAATGTAACAGCCCAGGTTGTGTCCAGTGTGAGAAAAGACAGCAGCAGTTCACACTGGTTTCCAGCCTGAGCTGCCCCACAGCGTGATCCGCTTCTCTCTGCCCCACACACATTTCCGTACTGGAAGGAAGAAAACGTGCCATGTCCTCCGAGACAGCAGGACACCAGGAGCAGAGCCCCACTGATGGGTGATGTGTCCCTAGCCATCACACCCGGAACGGGGAGAAGACAAGGCACGTCCTCGTCGAGCCAGGGATTGTGAGCAGCCGGGGGATATTTAAACCTCCAGCAAACACAACGTGAGGTGCCGGGCAGGCCTCGTGCTTGTGGCTGCATCCAGGCCTGTTGCTCCTTTCTGCAGGAATGGTGTGGAATATGCAGCCAGCATAGTCAGAAGACAAGATCGTGGTTATATTTGTCATTTGACAGTGCTGGTCGCCGCTATTTTTAGAGCCACGTTGCATCTGTGGCTCACGGAGAAGCGAGATAAGCCGGTGCCGGGGCTGCTTTGCACGGCGGCTGAGCCAAACTTGCTGGAGCCAGGAGGCTTCCCAGGGAGGCCGAGAGCCCTTGGGGAAGGTTTCGAGCCGAGCTGGGCCCTGAGAGCCACTTTGTGCCTAGTCTGGGTCACCCGCAGACGGCAGTGAATGCCTGCCGGCCTTATCGCCTCTTCCCTGGCTGGGTATTCCCGACTGTTTGTATTTTAAGGTCACATATGGCCGTGTTCGCAGGGCTGAGGTCGGCCCTGTCTGTGGTGCTGCGGGGAGGCCGTGTCTGTGGCTGTGGTCGTGTCTGTGGGGCAGGGATGTCCATGGGGGTGGAAGATGGGTCTATTGGGGGGGTCTAGGGGCGGGGGCCCCTGTCTGGGGCGGGACGGGGGGAGAGCCGGGGGGGGGGGAGAGCCGCCCCCCCCACCCCAAAAGCGGATGGCCCCGCCCCTGCCGTCGTCGACCAATGGGGAACCGCCGTGCGTGAGCCCGCCCCCTTCAGCCGCTGTCATCACAGACCCGCACGTGGAGGGGGCGGGTGGGAGGCGGGGCCCGCACGCAGCGCGTCACCGCCGCGGCGCCTGCCCATTGGCCGCACCGCCCCGCAGCTCGCCGCGCCTCTCGCCCCGCCCCGCCGCGAACGCCAATCAGCGCGGAGGGGGCGGTCTCGGGGGGCGTGGCCGCGCGGGCACCCGGAAGGAGCGGCGGCAGCGGCGGCGCAGTCGGGCCGAGGCGGCGGCGGAGGAGGAGGGGGCGCCGGTGGGTGCTGCGCGCGGGGGCGGCGACAGCGGGCCCGGGGGGGTTAACGGGCCCGGGAAGGCCCGTTCCGGAGCCTGCGGGGCCCGTGAGGGAGGAGCCGGCTCCTGAGCCCGGGGCCCCGCGGCAGGGGCCGCCCGGGCTGCGCGGCGCCGCGGGCGGCGGATGCGGCGCGAGGAGCCGCCGCTGCGCAGGGACGGGCTCCGCTGGGGCTGCCCCCAGCTCGGGCCCTCCCGCGGCCGCCGCCCCCGGGCGCCCCCCGCCCGCAGCGCGTCGTGTCCGCGGCCGGGACGGGGCCGCCGCCTCCCGCGGGGAGCAGCTGGGCCCCGCCGGCCCTGGCTCTGCTCCCCCGGGCCCTGGGGGCCGCCTGGCGCCGCGCGGCCCGTCCTGCGGCTGCCCCGGCGTCAGTGCCGTGCCGGGCGCTGCGGCCCGTGCGGGTGCCCGGCGGCCGCGGCCGGGGGCTGCTGCCCTCTGGTGACCGGAGCGGCCGGCGGAAGGGCGGCCGTGCGCACGGCCGGGGGGAGCCGCGGGGCTCCCAGGGCTCCGGGAATGTTGTTTGGGAAGGGAAACCAGGGGGACACCCGGGTGCCGTCTGCGTGGCAGCAGGGTGGGCTCATCCCCGGCCCTGGGGACATGAACCCCAGCAGGGACGTGTGTATGTGTGGGGGGAATGGAGCAACTGCATGAACTTCCCACTCTTTATAAATTCTAATTATTTTCTTTTAGAGGAGCGTGGATTTTCCTGGCACTGTGGGAGGCGTACAAGATGTGTTTTGGGAATGCCGGGCTGCTGGTACTTTAAAAATATCTTCCATTCAGGGCCCTTGTGCAAAGTATCCCCCGAGCCAACATCTGCTGGTGGCCGCGTCCTCGGCTGCCAAACCAGTTTTCGGCAGCGCAGAGGGGCAGCTGGGGCCCTGCGGTGAGCGTGGCAGTCCCGCACCCTGACGCGAGGACGCGCTTGAGCAAACTCGCTCCTATCTAGGGCAAAGAGGCTGTGGCCGGCGAAGCCGGGGAGGAAATTCCACCAGGGAATTTCCCAACGCGGCGTCGCTGTGGGCTGCTGTGGGAGCCCGGCCGTGCCCGCTGCCTCCTCGCTTGGCCCCCGCTCTGGAGGAGCGGCGAGGTGCGGAGCGGGCGCCGGGGCCTGCTGGGGACTACAGGTCCCGTCATGCAGCTCCCGCACAGCTGAGCAGCCCGTCGGGGCGGCCGCTGCACGCCGGGATCGGCAGCCTCCCGGCCCAGGGTAAGGCAGGAGCGGGAGCTGCCCGGGGACACGGTTAAACCTGGCCTGTGGGGACGTGTCTGGGTGCTACACAGCTCCTCTCGGGGAGGGAAGCGGGTTGGGGACATCCTGTTGTCACCAAGGCACCATTTGCGGAGGAGCCGGAGCACCTGCTTTTGCTTCCTCTGCTGCTCTTATGCTGTCCTGGCAGTTTCCTGCTGGCTCCAGGGGAATGGAGCACGTCCCTTCCTGCGGGCCCGGCAGCGCCGCGCTCTGGGGGGCTGCGTGGGGCTCTGGGGGGCTTCATGGGGTTGGGGCCGCGCCACTGGCGCACCCCAGTTCTGCACGGGGGAGGTTCCTCACCTGCCCCTGACACAGGCACCCTGCTCAGCTCAAGGGCAGGGGAGCTCTCTCTGTTCCCCTCTGCCCTTCCATCCCAGCTGGAAGTCAGGGGCTAAAGGATGGTTTTAATTGCACTGTTAGGGTTGTTGCTTCATTCCTAGTAGCCTCCTTAGCAGGCAGATCCAAGTGTGCAGGCCCTATACGCTCCTGATAGGGTGCTGAGCTTTCCCAGGCTGTGTTTTCTCGGCAGTTTCAGGTTTTGTTCCTTCTGGGCAGGCAGAGCAGGAGGAGGAAGTTCCCTCCCCGAGCTCTCCTGCCCTTCCAGGGCAGGGAAGGCCCCACTCGCCTTCCTCCTTTCTGTCTTGCACCAGCTTTTACCTGGCACCTTCCTGCCCTCTGCTTCTCAGACCTGCACAGACCCCTGGACCTCTTCTCTCGGGGTTGTCCTCCTACTTCTGAGTCTCAAAGGATGGTTGAAGGCATTGGTTATTAGTTGGACTCCTGAGAGTTGATATTTCGGAGACTCCATAATTTGTGCCTAGAGAACCAGAAGTCCCTCTGGATCTGAATTAAGAAGGTGCAGTCTTTAGGTATGGGATGAGATGTGGAAGGGAAAATAAGGAGCCATATTGGTTAGAAAAATGATGCCCTTGGTGTCATTTCAGTATAGCTTTTGTCAAATTTATCAAAGACATCACAGCTGGAGGAGTTAATGAGTCAAGCTTGATGCAGGACAGGTGTGGAGAGGAATCCCAACAAGAGAGCACTCTCAAAGGGGTCATTGCATGGTAGCAGATGGCCTGTGGAGGGTTCCCTGCTTGGGTTTTGGGCACTGTGGTTCTACTGGGAGAGGATCTTGCTTGATCTCTCTGCACCTCTCATCAGGTAAGAGGGGACCCCATCCTCTGCTGGGCTCTGTGGGCTTGGGGTTTTTAATCCTTTCTGTCTGCAACACCCGGCACTTCTGCTTCCTGAAGTCCTGTTATTTGACCGAGTCTTATAATTTCTTTTTAGGTTGTGCCTGTGACCATGCACAAGTGAACCTGGTGGCAGTAACCTCTCATAATTCATTTCCATCTCTCCAAGTTTGGAGTTTGCTTTAAGACTATTTTCTTTAGCTGGGAATTTTCCTTGCAAACCTTTGTCTTCCCTTTTCTCCTCTCTTTCAGTCCTGTTTGCTTTGTCTTGTGAGTGCTTAGCTGCCAGTGAATGTTTCCCTGTGATTCTGCTAGTGTTCTCAGCTGACTGTGGATCCTGAACGAACAGCAGCTGAACTCGATGCTCTGCATTTTGGGGAGCTTCTGCAGTGCTGGCTACTGCTTTGCAGTTGTACTCACCCCTATTGTGGCCTTAACGCCCACCTCTGCTCCCCAGCTGGCCAGTGTGTGGGCAGACCAGGGTCTGAGTGGGAAGCCTCTAAAGAAGTCTTGTGTGCCCTAAAAAATAGGAGTGGTGACTCAGGCCGATGCGCTTTTCAGTAGCGAATCTTTGTCCCAGGCCAAGGCTGATGTCAACCCCACAATTCCTGTTATCGGAAATTAGCCAAGATCCAAAGCCTTTTATGCAAGAGCTGAAGTGATAATCCCCGTCCCCTGGCCTCGCTCCATTTGGGGGAATTGCTCCCTTCCCAGGGCCCGTTTTCAGCCGGGCCCTGCTGGATGGAGCACGGGCCCTTGCTGTGCCAGCGCAGCATGTGGGTGGCACGACTTCAGCGGTGTCCAAAGCCATTCTTGCCGCTGCGGCTTGGAGCCTTCGCAGAGCTCGCCTGCAAGGCCGCGTGGCAGAGCAGGGAGCTGCTGGGGTTTCTCTAATACCCAGACACCCACCATGTGCAGCTTGTGCACGGGCTGCGTTTCCATGAGCTTCCTGGGGGCCGCGCACAGTTTGGGGGGTTGTTATCGCCCTCGTTTCCGAGGCCTGCTGGGCACAAGGGCCCTGCGCCCACACAGCGCGCTCTCCAGCAGGCTGCAATTACAGCGCCGGGGAGGGGTTTTAAGCGCCGTCTTTGTGGCGGTCCTGGCAGCCGTGCGGAGGTTCCTATTGAGCAGTTGTTGTTTCCTCGCTTCGCCAGAGCCTGGGCGACGCTGCCGTGTTCGCCGGGGCTCCGGCTTGGCGCGGTTTGGCCCGTGCTGCCGTGGCTCTGTGTGTGCAGCCTCGTGCAGTGGGTAGCTCCTGGGGACCAGAGCGAGAGCAAGCGCTGCCAGCCAAACCATATGCCAGCCGCTCAGCCGAGGACAGGCTGAGCCTTGTGCGGCGGAGCCCGGCACAGCTGCAGACGGTGGGAGAGAATAAAGCCAAGAGTGTCAAAGTCCTTCGCTTCCTACTTAATTCAGTGAATGTGGCCATTGCAGCCCTTCCCAGGGATCCGGCTCTGGCTCTTTGGGGGAATCACACATTCACCTGGAGTCACGCGGGGAATTGGGGTTTTGAGGTGGAAGAAGTGGGGGGGCTGTAACTAGAGGGGGGCTCTTAGCACTGGTGAAAGATGCAGTGGGATGTTAAGGTGGTGGGGTGCCTGGAGTCTCTCAGGGCTGTGCATGGCACAGGCCTCTCTGCCCTGGGATGTGAGCAGTTGCTGTCTATCTGCTGTTCAGGGGGTCTTCTGGTGTGGGCAGGTTATTTCCCAGCCACGTTTAACCTGTTTCCCTGTGCACTTGTCTTCGCAGGCAGCCCAGCACTGCCGGAACAAGCAATTCCCAGAGCACGGCGTGGCTGCTGACAGCAGAGAGCTGCTTTTCCAGCCTGCACCGAGGTTAGAACCAGTGTGGTTGTTACCTGCTTCCCTTCCTTGACCATGGCAGTGTGATAGTCTCTGGGAACACTGTCCTTTCCTCCTCCGTCTCCTCAATACTTGGGACAGCTCTGCAGGGCCGGTGTCACTGCAGCAGGTGTTGGCAGAGCCACCTGCCTAGATATTTCTGCTTCCTGCCTTGCTGGCAGTGTGACGGGTGTCTGTGACCTGTCCTGTTAGGACCATTGAGCCCTGCATGCAGTCAGGAAGCTCAAAGGCAGTGCATTTTAAGCCCTTTTAACTTCAGAATGGAGGCCAGGCCTGTGACCATGGCAAATGAGGCCCAGAAGTATTTCAGGAGAGCTGGTGGCCTTTCTGTTGCCACTGTCAAGGAATCTGAAGATCAGGCCCTCACTAATCTCAAGTGACCCGAAAGGAGCAGGTTGTGGTGGCTGTGAACTTCCTTCCACGTGCCTGTATCTGGATGTTTGTGTGCAGTAGGATGCAGTAGTGCCCACCAACCTGCACACTGTGCTGCTTCCTTTGGGAAGAGAGCCTTCAGCAGGACTTCATCGTTGGAAAACTAAACTAAGTCTTACATCAGTGCTCAAATGCTCAAATGGAGCCTCAAATGGAGAGGCTATGTGGGAGAGCTGCTTTTAGGACATGATAGGGCTGTATGTTGGGAGAGCAAGTCCAGCAGATAACAAGAATTCCTTGCTTTTCCCTTGTTGTTCTTCCTCTGACTTGTCTGCCAAGAAAGTTGGGGCCAGAATGCAGGGCTCTTTGTTAGGTTGCTCACTCTCTTGTGCTTTGCTTTTTTGCCTGGAAATCCCAGTAAGCCTGGTCTTACTGCTGCTAAGGTTTGGTGCAGAGATAGGATGGTCTGGTCCTGGTGTAGAAGATAGTGATAAACCTGCCAGAATGAGGGGCAGACTCCCTGCCTCAGGGAGGGCTCTTTCTCAGTTCAGAAAGCCTCAGGCAGCCCAAGGACTCTCTTCAGTGTCAGGCAATGAGCTTGGGTGCAGTACTGGGATGTGGCATAAACTGCTTTTCAGACCATTTGTCCGTGAGGGGCCGAGGTTTGTGCTTGCTCACAGACGTGGTGGATGAACTCTCCCTTCCACGTGCACAGTTCTTGTGTGCTGAGATTCCAGTGCTTTAACCATAGCTCCCTCCTCTCCCAAAGATCCCTGCACATTGCTGTCTTTTCTGTCACTTTGCTTCCTGCTCTATTTTGCAGACCCCTGGAGAGACTTCTGGTGCCTTTGACAAAAATGAGATGTGATGCCCTTGTTTACAAGCTCCATAGACCTGGTGAAGAGGGGATTATAACCTCACCTGAAAGTGGCCAGTGTTACTCTGTTCAGTCTGTTTTTAGCACTTTCTGGCTACCATTGCACAGCCTTACTAGCTGATCTAGTCCTAGGTCTTATTCCATGGGAAATGCCAAAGAAATATTGCTGCCCCTTCAGAGATGGAGATCCAGGTTCTTCATGCATGCTGGCATTGGAGCTATGGGAGGAATCCCCTTTTTACCTTACTGTGCCTGTTACAAGTAGGCAGGATAAGTTCTTGGGAGTGCTGGGACAGCTGAATCCTTGTTCAGTTCTCCCTGCTGCTAAGAATGAAGTAGATGATCATCTGCTGGGGCTAATTTTAGGCCTCTGAGCATTGCCTGTGTCCCTCAACTCCTATTTGTGTTCAATCCTACTGGCTCTCTTAGAGTTGTGCCGGTCCTGTATCCTAGCGTGCAGAGGTTTTGCAAGTCCATAGTGTTTCAGGTGCTAGGAAGAACTTGGATTTTGTGGATGCCCATGAATTGCACACAAGGAAGCTGGCTATTAAGCTACCCGTTTCCCTACCTTTGCTTTCCTAATGATACAGCATCTCTCCTGTCACAGTGGGTTGGTTCCTGTTGCCCTCAGCGGATGCATCCACATGAAATGCAGTCTCTCACAAAGCCCTCGGGTGTGGAAATACTCCCAAATGCACCACAGAGATGTGAGCACCACTCTGGCCTTTTCTGTATGGCTGGATGGCAGCGTGGCATCTGCTGCTGACATTCTCCAATGAAGCACAGCACAGGGTGAGGCCTTCTGGCCTCTCCCTTATTTACTTACTCTAGAGTTTTGGCCCCTCTGAGCTTTTGGGTGTCCACCTGCTCATGTTATTTTTGTCACGTATCCCAGCTGAGCTGCACTTAGTGCTGAGCTTTGCTGAGTTTCACGTTGAGGCAAGACACAGCTCTGCAGTTTTCAGTGGGCTAAAAATAAAGTTGGGCCAACGAATGGTATCAGAAGGGAAGCTGTATGGTCTCCTGAGCCCCATGACTCACCCAGGATCAGCCTGAGGCTTTGCTTGCTTCTGCTATAATGCTCAAATGATGTAACTATTTGTGGTGGACCTTCCTGGACCTGGGGAAGGGCAAGGGAGGGAGCAGCAGTGGGGAGGGAAGCTGAGCATGTCAGAGTTATGTGTGTTTTTTTTTTTTTTTTTTTTAAATCTGTTAAGTTGTTGATTTAATTCATCAAGGATGTTGGCAGGTGTCACGCCTGAATGTGGGTTACCAGGGTCTTCTGTCTTTGCCTTGCATCCCATGCCTCTATAGGAAAGGAGAGAAAGAGAGGAACTCTGCTAGCACACTGTGTTGGATAAGTGTTTAACAACACATAGCAACAGTCGACAACAGTTTTTAGGACAGGAAGCGAAGCCGGATCTTGTCTCCAGCGCAAGCCACAGCAAGGCTAAGTGCGGAAGAGCAGATCTGCCCATGTGGGAATGGGCTGGGACAGGAGACATCTTAAGGGATGTCTGCTAGGCTGCAGCAAGAAGAGGCGTGGATCTCTGCTTCCCCCAGGGCTGTCCCTGGCACAACGCGGAAAAGGTGCGTGGAGCTTTGACATCCAGAAAGGTCCTGTGCTGCTGGTGACCATGCTGGGGGCTGGCTGGGCTGGGGGCTGCTCCATGCCATATGGGCAGGCAGGGTGGGTGCACTGGGATTGAAGGATGACGATGCTGAGCAGCAGGGCATCCTGCCTGCTGTGATGTGCTGGGGGCTGAGAATTGGGCAGGGTCTCTGGGACCCCGATCTGGCTGCCCAGGGCTCTGAAATCACACCCTGGGAGCTGACCAGGTCAGTGTTATGTACCGGGCCCCATGAAAGGGAAGGGGGGGGGATGGCACCTCCATCCCGTTATGCCCTTTGGAGTGATGTGGAGCTTTTGGGGAGCCCAGGGAGGGTTTTGGGGACCCAGGGCAGGTGACGCAGAGCGTGCGCTGTGTTGGGGACAGCGAGGCTTGGGGAGCAGAGACAAAGCAGGGGCCGGGCCTGGGGGTCGCTATGGCAACCTGCCCTGGCAGCCATGTTCCCTGGGCCCTGCTGCGGCGGGCGGCCGGGAGCAGCACGGAGCTGCTGGCAGCCCTACGCGCCTGGGAGCCCGGCCTGCCTCGGGGACTCCTTCCTGCATCCCGTCCCACCCCTGGGGTCTGTGCCTCGGGTTCCTTGTTGTGTGCTAACTTGGCATGCAGAGCCCCCAGAGCTCCTCTCCCCAGGCCCCCTCGGAGCCGCCTCGTGGTGAGTGGCCGGCAGGGACGGGTTGCCCAGTTCCTGCCTCGTTGGGAGCAAGGAGGCAGCTCCTGTTTGGAGGCCTGTTCTGTGTGAAGCCCAGGGCTACAGAGCAGGCCCAGCCTGAAAGAAGCTGTTCTCTTAAACCTGCTCGCTGAATCACAGCGACTAGCTTGTCATGTTGCTGCCCTCGCTCATCCCCAGGTGTGATCGGTGTCGGTGGATCCAGCCATCTCTGCATCTCCCAAGGATGCCTGACCCTGTGCCGTGCTGTCCAGCCCGTGCAGCCTGCTTGCCTTGCTCCAGGGTAGCTGTAGGCTCATGGAAAGCAGGAGCTCTAATTCACTGTGAGATATGACCCTGAGACTGACTCCTAGAGCAGGTAGAGTTAAACATTTCTGAAGCTGCCTATGGGCATGCCCCTTACCAGAGCCTGGCAGGGGCCCCATTCCTGTTACTGAATCCAACAGGGAGCATCATCCAAGTTGATGCACAGAGGGAATAAGTCAGGAAGCTGAACTGCAGCCTGGCTAAACCGCGAGCATGACTGGGACCTGACCTGTCTCCTGCAAAGTGCCTAAAGGCGTGAGTGCGAGCTAGGGGGAAGGGACTGCCTGGAAGCAAGCAGAGCTTGTTCGTCTTAACACATACCAGGGTGGGAGCTGTAAACCTCTCTTGCTGCCCCTCTCAAAGGTCACTGCTCACAGTGAATGACAACATGCTGCCTCCAGCTCTGTCCCCAGTCCTGAACGCCAAAGAGCATGTGCAGCTTTCAGAAGATGCTCTGAACTTGCAGGTTAGACATGTAGAACTGTTATAGGTGCAACACAAACACTATCACGGTGTCTGTGGTGGGATTTCAGTGGGGATTAGGTGTTTATGCTGAACTGGCGGGAAAAGGATGCATGTCTGGGCTCCCTGAGCAGCCCCGTGTTCACGAATGTCATCATCCTGTGTCTGAGCTGTGATCTTCCTTCCACCTGTGACCCAGAATACAAAACCTCAGGAGTGCCAGTGAAAACTGTCCCACTTTTTACAGTCTACCAGAGTGTCTGCATTGGTTTTAGGGTGATTTCAAGATGTGTATAGACTACCCAACTCAGTCTCAGCTATTGTAAACTCCCAAATGCATTAGACTTGCCTGTAAAATGTCCTCTGGACTCCAGACCCTGGTGCTCCCAGGACAGACAGGTAGATGGAAAGTAGAACGTGGACCCTAAATGAAAACTGCTTGTGACAGCTGTGTCCTTCTTCCTTCCAACTTCCAAGAACATTCTTGTCCTTTACAAAGGGGAACAGCTTGCTCGCTCTGAGCTGGCCACTGAATCTCCCTCCTTGTGGGGGAAACTAAGGCTGGCATTAAGTGTACCTTCAAAATGACAGTTCAAGAACTGCTCTTAATGAATTTGACCTCCAGTACTTGGTGTTAGAACTGGTATTACCAAATATTAAG